TATATATGTATATATGTATATATATATATATATATGTATATATGTATATATATATATATATATATGTATATATGTATATATATACACACTTTGGGAGTGGAGATGTTGATATGAGTTTAAGATCCAAGATTCTGTGACAGTGTTTGAGCATGCTGACAGTAAGGAGAATTTTAAGATCCATGTTTTTTATTCTTTTTGTTTTATTCTTTATTCTTTGCAAACTTATTTCTGTAGTGTTAGAACATGCTTCTGAATTAGGTGATAAGAGAATATAGCACAAGTGTTTATAGCTTTATTCTTTTTCATTATGTTTTTATTCTCAAACTCATCTCTATTCAGTTTTGCATTGGGACTGAGGTGTTTTGAAGCTCATTTCCTGGAATTTATCTTGTTTATAACAAACATTATTGAGTTAATTCTATGCAGGGGACACAAATATGAATAATAAAATATATGGCCTCTGTCCTTGAAGAGATTTTAATCCTATTGAAGCTATGAATTGTATGATGGCAGGGGCTTTCAAAAGGGCAAGGAGGAGGGAAGCATGGTCCTAGAAGTTGAGGTTTTGTGATGTAATTGCAGAGAGTTTTTGCCCTTACTTATTCTTAGGAAGGTATAACTTCTTTACACTCTTTATGCAACTTTGTAGCTAAAAAATGTGTTTTGGTATCATCTGATGTTTTTGGATGAAAGAACTCTGGTTTGAAAAGGAGGCAGACATTGGTTGCATTCCTTATCTTGTTTTGGATGTGTTTCTTTTCTTTTTTTTTTTTTTTAAATTTTATTTACTTATTTTTCCTCCAAAGCCCCAGTAGATAGTTGTATGTCATAGTTGCACATCCTTCTAGTTGCTGTATGTGGGACGCAGCCTCAGCATGGCGGGAGAAGTAGTGCGTCGGTGCATGCCCAGGATCCGAACCTGGGCCGCCAGCAGTGGAGCGCGCGCACTTAACTGCTAAGCCACGGGGCCGGCCCGGATGTATTTCTATAGTGAGTTTATGTAAAAAGGTCTTAATGTCATTTTTGGACATAACATGCATCTAGAAAACACTTCTGGGGTAAAATCCAGTAGCTATTTGACAGACTGCCCATGAAATTAGAAATAATTACTGCATTTTTAAAAGAAGAAGAAATTCAGAAAGGTGTTTTAATAGGACAGATTACAGGATTCAGTAAGATAATGGAGAGACCCTAAGAAAAATAGTCTGATTGTCTCTTCATGTCGTGGCCTCTGTGTAAGGATGTCATATAAATTTGTGAAAAGTTTAAGATTTTCTCTAATTTTTAACTTGGGTAGTAGGTATATGGTTTTTTATTGTTGTTTTTTACAACATGTCATATATATGTGTGTGTAGTGTGCATATAAATACATATGTATATAGTCTCTTCTACGTATGAGATTAAAAAAATAATGCTTGTAATAATCACAAAAAGTTATTCAGGATCTTTAAGGATCAAGAATGGAAAGTGATTTTTGTGTCCTGTTCTTGAGTTGTAT